TTTGGTTAGTTTTTTCTTCTTCTTTTTTATTTTTATTTTTATTTTTACTTTTATTTTTTTGCCCTTCTTCCCACCACTTTGCCGAGATGAGCAAGAAACATCCATGGATCTTTCTCCCCAGCCCCGACACGAACAAAGAAGGCTAAGGAAAATGCTTCTTCGCTGCTTCTCCCGCCCACCCCAAACCTAACCGAGGATTAAAAGTTCCTCAGAAACCAAGCCACTCACCCCCACCCTGGTCTGGTTTAATCTCCAGCGTCAACACAAACTGCGTGTACTTGTACACCCTACCCCTTCCCCGTTTGATTTTGGACACCAAATTGATGATACTCGCTCAACTCACGCATCGTGTATCAGCGGAGAGCGGGGAGAGGGCAGGTGGATCAGAAACGGGAAGGGGGAAAAAGTGCTCTCTGGACGGCCGACGCTTGAGTGGGCTCCGGCGGCTGGAAGACTGGAAGACTGGAACATCTTCGTTGGTGACACTGTGGATGGTAATACCCACTGAGATATGGCGGCTGTGCACTGCACGGAAAGGTAGCACGCGCTAGTCCCGTAATCGCATTATTGCCGGTGACTGGCTCTTCTCTTTTAGGAGGTACCGATGCAGGTACCTGAGCTGGGGTTGGGCCAAGCTGCCGCCGTTTGAGAGCCTCGACTGGCTTCCAGCAACTCGCAAACAAACGGGAGGATGGAAGGATCAGCCCTACCGCGCTCCTAAGTATCACGGTACGCAAGAGGTACCTAGAAGAGAAATGCTGCCCCATCCAGGCGAGGCCAAGTTGGCGGCGGGGAAGGGCAGCAAAAGGTACTCTGTAAATTACGCCCCAAATCCAATCTCCTGGCCTGGGTCTCTTGGGCTCTGGTTTGCTGGTATTTTTGGATGACTGTTTACTAAGATTCTGACGACGTCAGGAGAACAACGTAATCAGCAAGCCAAGATAGAACACAGGTAATAGAAACGCGCGCACACACACTCTCTTACACACGCACGAACACGCATAGCATAGCATCGCACACACACGCACACACACACACACACACACACACGCATACTCACGCATACTCAAACACATACGCACGCACTTAACACAGCTCCAAAGCTTACCCACGCATGGATAAAAATTGGCGGGAGCAGGCAGCTCTTGTGCTTTGTCCTGCCAGCTTTGTCCTGCCTTGCCCTGCCTGGGCTGGCCCAGCCCAGCCCAACCCAGCCCACGGGAGAGACTCCTTCCGGGCCGGCACAAAGAGGCCAAACCGGTCAAGCCGTGATGTGATGATGATTGCGACCAAAGATGTGAGGCGAGATCGTCAACCTTGTTCGACTCATACATATGCAGATTCAATAATACCGTTCCTTTCATCCACATGACGGGCTCGCTCGTGATCCAGTCCGTGGAACTTTTCGGGGTATTTCTCTTTTAGTTGTCATTTCACAAATCCTTTTGTATTTTTTGGCCACTCATATGCTCCCTGGACAGCTCAATAATTGCTCAGACCTCGCGTCGAGGTTTTTCCCCGGCCTCTTCCTTTCGTCTTGAGTGTGATGAATGCAAGGGTTGATTTGCACGCTCATCTCCGTCGGCGTTTTATCAGAGCTTGGGACTAGCTTGCGAAAAAGAAAGAAAACCAAAGAAACAACATTGAAGGGAAAAGAGCGATGGCGCCCATCGGACGGAGTTAAGAATCCACGGAACGGGTCGGGGTATTTCTAACCCTTGATGCTGCCTGCACAGCCAGCGAGGTGGCCCGGTAAAAGAGTGCCCCGAGAGCAGCTGGCGTGTTTGACCTTGACAGTGAAATCGCCGTCGGCTTTTTTTCTCTTGATCTTTATCCCCCGTTCCTTTCTTGCTGAAACCACTCGGCTCATCCTTCGCGTTCTTTTGATGTCTGTTCTTCCTCTTCTTTTCATCTGCGCGATTCCCTTGCCATATTGGTTTTCAATATAGAGCCGTCTGTCCTCCGCTCGCCAGTCGCCCTTGATTCAGTCAGGTGGAGGGGCCTGCGCCGCACAACGAGCTTTCCTCTTCACACTTTCCCTTGTTTCTTAATATTTCCTCAGCCTATTTCACGCCCCACACGTTACTCTCTTCCCCGCTTGCACTTGGAAGGGGGCGTCCTCTTTGATAGATCAAAGTTGATACAGGACTCATATACTGGTGTAACCATGGATTAATAACGACGCAGCAGCCACACAGACGAGAAAGGCATGTGAACATGTCGAAACAGAGCACAAGGTGGTGGAAAGGATTTTGATGACGAAAAGGAGAGAAATCCCCCGCCAAAAAACCGTCAAGGATCAAATGTCAAACGTATTAACGAAATTGATAGATTAACTTGGTTGAATGGCGGGAAGCCACAATTCCTTTGAGGGTAGAGACTATCGTCTCGAGGTGGGAGCCGAATATGAAATGTAAAAACACAGGCACCCCTTTCCTCACCCTTTGCACTAATTGCAGTAATGGTTTCCGTGTTGCTAGCGGGTTAGAGGCAGAAGTGGACGACGCAGAGGGAGGGAGGGGGATTGGAGAAACAAGATGAAAAAGGGTCCATTCTTGCTAAAAGATGACCTGCATGCTCATCGGGTCTCCCGCTGCTTGGCGGTCTTCTTAGCTCTCAGTTCTCCAGGTCGCCCCTTTCCTCCCCCTCACTTAGATGAACGTTTTCGGCCTCGTGATTTGCAGACTCGCGATGTGGGCATCTGATCCTCCACGGAGAGGGGGAATAAAACAGAAAATCCTCTGAGAAGCTAACCCAACAAAGAGAACAAAAGAACAAAAGAGCAGTCCCAAGGAGCTTACCCGCTCCCTCCCACCCTCTGTCGCCACCCTCCCTCTCTTTCCCTTTTCTCCGCGAATCCCAGCTTGTGCTAACGCTTGGGAAGGATTCGAGATTAGAGATGCGCGTAGCCCTATCACCTTGCACGATGCGCGACAAGCCCAAATTCCCTCTCCCCTCCCCTTATTCCCTAGGGCGTTGAGCCTGTGAGCTGTCAATCCCCCTTAGCTACCTCGGTATATCCCCTCCCTCGTCACTCATGCCTCCCTGAAGAGTGCGATTGAAGGGTGGAGGAGGGGGGTGGTGGGTTTGCGGAGAAAGACACTACGCCGTACAGTTGCATGACATGAACAAACCTGGCCTGACGAAGCAATCCCCCTTCCTCCCCTCCCTCCACCCTCCTACCAATCCGAGCTTCTGGGGTAGCGCCACGGAAGCAACCGGATTGGAACGACGGAACTCGAGGGCTGGATGCCTACGCAGATGAGTGGGGGCGAATATGAGGCAGCCGAGAAGAGGCAGGGGGAAGAAAGAAAAGAAAGAAAGAACAAGAAAGAAAAGAGTTGTCCAACATTGGTATGGGCGCCGCGGCGAGAGCGGTGAAACCAAGATTACAATGCGAAATATTGGTGGCACAGAACCTTTTTCTCCTTGGCGCAGACATCTTGAACCAACAGACGCCGATTCGGTCCCGAGGCGGGAAAAGTGAGAGTTCGTCGTGGGGGGACAAAAAGAATCAAAAGAATGAAAAGAAGCGAAGGCTAGGTACGGGCCACGCAACGCAACGCAACCCAGCCGCAACGCACTGTTGGCACACACGCGCGCCGGGGGCGCGAAAAATCGTTGGGCGTTTTTCTTCTTTTTGCTTCAAACAAGGTTTTGGAAAGCCCGCTCGGGACCGGACCGGTCTTTTGCCCAAAGAGGAAAAACCAAAGAAGAACGGAAAAGACGAGATACCAAAAGAAAAGGTTGGTTGGTCGTTCTTGAAGAACCCAATTTCCTCTTGTTACCAAAGATGTTGGACAAGAACCCATGCTCGACAAGGTTACACACGATCACGAAGACGCCCCCGAATTAAAAAAGGGGGTTCGATAAACAGTTCCCAGAATTCCGGCAAAGCCAACCGGGATTCAATCACTCCCCCTCCCATCTCCTCCGGAGATAGTCTCGCACCCCGAGATGGGGACGTAAAGATGGCGAGAAGCGACCAAATACCATTGATGCCTGCACCATCCAGGTTGCGTTCATCCATGACTAGCTAGTCGCGATTGACGAATCCTAGACCTCCTCAAAGAGGCCTCGCACAGCGTGCGTAGCTCGAAATGGACATGATGCAAGACCATGTGTCTTTTTCTGCTTCAATCATCCGGTTCTGCACCCCCTCCAAATCCCCGCTTCTTCAAAAGGTCTTGATAGACTTGCACGAACTACACGAGTGGAGTAAGGACGACAAAGGGCCAAAAAAAAAAAAGCTCTAGACAAACGAGGGTGAAGCTGAAAAAAGCACTTCGCGCAACGCGGGGAGAGGAAAAGAATAAACAAGGACAAGGGTTTTAGAGGAAAGGAGAACCAGACAAGATCACGGCAAGAGAGAAATCGTAGTTTGACAAACTTTTTTCAAAAGATAGCCTCACGCCCGGCGTGGTACATGGGATTCATGAAATCAACGACAATATTACACCATGTCCCCCGTCCAGTCCGTAGAGTAACCGAAAAAAAAGGCAGACAGAGGAAAAAAACAGAGGCAAGACGAGGAGAGTGAAAAGACAAGAAAAAAAGAAAGGAGCGAAACCATAAAAGCGCCAGAGAACGACAATGGAGACGATCAACACCACCAGCGATACTCGACGGCCAGGTCTCCAGGACGATCCATGCACGCTCCCAGCACGAGGGCTGGAGCCACCGCGCTCTACTAAATACCAAGGCCCAGCCCTTCGTAGGCCCCGAGTCATTCACGCGTCACTTTGCCTTTTGCCTCGTAACGCGATGAGAGTCCTTTTACTTTTTCAGCACACACCCGCCAGTAAACAAGGACTGGAACTAGGCGGCAAGGAAACAAGAGAGAGAACCGGATAAGAAAGAAAAGAAAGATAGGCATCATGATCTGGTGTACAGTAAACTGGTATCATCATAAGAGTAAGGGAACATAAAAAGTATGAGAAAACGTAGAGAGAGTGGGAGAGAGACAAGGGTTCGTCATCGCGTCAAAGGCATCGCTCTTCTCAAGGTTGGGGACGGAAATCCTCTCCCGTCATCTGGCTGATGGAAGGGAGGGTAGTGTGCTGCGGCTCCCCACCCCGGCCGTGACCGTGGCTAAAGGGCTGGCCAGCGGGGCCGGAAGGGATCGCCGCGAACGGGTTCGGTAGGCGCTGGAGGGGGTCGAACGCGGGGTTCGAATTGGGCCCGTGTGCCATGTAGCTGGCGTTCGGGGTGCTCACCCGCCGCCTCTGCGCCAACCCGAGCCTTTGAACGTGGCCGCCGTCCTCGAACGAGGGCACTGGCCGCGCTGGGGGTGCCGGAGCCACCTGGCCCTGACCGGCGCGGAACGGATCTGCATTACTAAAGTATCCGCCGTGAGCCGCCGGCTCTGGCTCCATGCGCCCGATGACCGAGTTGGAGATGCTGGGAGCGCCTTGAACCCCACGCGGTTGCGGGGTTCACTCAGGAGATGAGACATGTCGCTGCGCGACCGCCCGTGCCGCGGCTGTGGCGCCGACAGCGTCATGTGGGGCTGGGCGTCCAAGTGCTCCAACCGCTCCTCTTGGATCTGCTGGAAGGCAGGGCGGTGCACCAGTGCCGTGCGTCTAGAGTTGGGCGGCGCATATGCTCCGTCCAGTGCATCTTCGGCCTTGCGCTTCTCCGCTCGTCCGGCTTCTTCCGTCACTACAATGGCCGGCTGGGACCCGCGCCTGTGGTTGAATAGCATGTGGTGGTCGCCCGCGGGTGGGAGGGCGTTCCCGATGGGGATGCCCATCGACTGCGTGCGCCGGTGGGAGACGGATGACTTGGACCGCCGCTTTTGGGGCCGGCGGGGCGCCACCGCGCCTTCAATGTTGGGGAGGATCTCAATGTCGGGCAGCTGCAAGAGGTTGCCAGCGTGTACCTCGTCCCGGAGTTGCGCCATGATGTCCTTGATCTGGGCGGTTGGGTATCCCGAACCAGCCTGACCGGCGAGCCAGTCGGGGACGGCGGTGCCGAGGGCTACCGCGTCGTCTTCCTCCTCCTCCTCCTCTTCCCCGTCGTCCTGACTCTTCTTGCGGCGCTGCTGCTCGCGCTTCCTGATGCTCAGTGCCCAGTCCTTGACAACAGGGCCGTCGTTGGCCGCGACGTTGCCATCCGACCACGCCTGGATACGGTCAATCTGCACCAAGATGAGGTCTGCCTGCAACTTGGCGTACTCGGGGCCCTTCCTATAGCGCTCGCGTTGGTAGTGCTTTCGGCAGTAGTGCACCCACACCTCCTGAGGAATCGCTCGAGTGCAAAGCTTGTTGCGGCCAAACACGTGCGAGATGAGCTTCCGCCTATCCGTCCCCGTATCGCAGTTCTCTACTCGCTCGCACCGGATGTGGAGGTTCTGCTCCCTTTGGCGCGGGAGTGGGCCGCCAACCATCTGGGGACGGGCTAGCATGGGCATGGCCTGGCTGACCACCGGCGCAGCAAACGCTTGGTGGGCTGGGGGAGAGGCTGCTGAGGCATTGGCTGCTGCTGTGCCATGGGCTGCATGGGATGGGGAGGAAGCGCCCTCGTGGGATACGCCGGGCCATTGGGCTGCGCTCGGAACGCGGCGAAACTGGGTGCGGAGATGGCCCGCTTGTGCTTGTGGATGGGTTGTAGAAGGTGAGATGAGTGCTGAGGGAATCTAGAGAGGGTATTGGGAAGTGGGTTGAGCGTGTCCTGGTGGTCGCTCAAATGTTCACTCATACTCTCGGCTTCATGCTGGGGCCTAGTTGTGCAGTTCATGTTAGCACCCGCTTCATTCTTATCATCAACACACAAGGGGCACGGCACGCATACGGCTGGTAGTGGGATGGCGGGCTCTGTCGAGCCTCTCCCCTCGAGATCAGGAAAGCATCCGATGGGCTGCTGGGACGACGTGGCTCTATGCTAAACGAGCCGAACCTGGGTGGAGTGCCGTTGTTAAGCTGTGGCAGATCCCTCGATGGTAGCTGGCTATTTCCGAGAGCGGGCAGGTTGGGCGCCCACCTGTCGCTATCGTTGCGCTCCGACTTCTCCTCGATGGACGGAATCTCGCCCATCATGGTGCTCGGAGGCGGGGCCATGCTGATGGTGGAAAAAGACGATATTCTCGAGTGGCACCCTGACTGAGTCGAGGGCGAGTACGACGAGAGGCTGCTGTGGCTATCGGAGAATTTGTGCTTGGGGGACTTGGGGCTACCCATGGGCGAGATGGGGGCGTCATGGTGGGTCAGGAAACTCGGCCTAGAAGGGATTCGTTAGCATGAGGGAGGCGTCCACGGTCAAGGTCAAGGCCACGGCGGCTAGAGCGTGATTGCACGTACTTTCTTGCTGTGAGCTGGGCGTCCATTTCACTCGCCGTGCTGAGTCTGCGAATGGCAGGATGTCAGCAATGCTCATGTATCCGAGGGGACGGACCTCTCTGTCCTTACCTTCGCCCAGTTGAAATCTCTAGCTGTGGGTTAGTCTCTCCGAGAAAGCTAGGCCTACAGTTACCCCTGTTAGCCCGCGCTCTTGCAAACCCGGTTGTATGTTCCCCTACTCCTCCCTTTGCTTTTCTTTCTTCTTCGCACTTCTCTACGGTGAGAAAGAGCGAAGCGAGGGAGAGAAGCCATCCTAAGAATGCTCTCTGAGGGTCGTATATACATACTTGAAATGCTGCGAACTAGTCATGGGAGACACGAGAGCCGACGAGACCATATCCGCGGGGATGACTCGAGGGATGTCGTCCTTGAATGGCCGCTTGAAGGCGTGATGGCCGATAAGGCCGAGAGCGAATGAGAATCCAACGAATCGCTATAGATTGTCGGCTTCTGCGAAGTAGGGAAAAATTTGGTGTCCAAACTCAAAGGTAGTGAGTAACCGCCCGCATCCCATGGCGTTCGGCTCTTAAGGCTTGGTCGGTAGTCGTGGGCACTTCGCGGCGGACTCTTCTCGGGAGAAGGCGTGGGCAGGCCCGCCCACGATGTCGAAACCGACTGGGTAGATGATGATGACTCTTGGGACTGGTGCGGTACGTCTTGGTGTTCTTGTAGACTGGCTCCCGCTGAGGTGTTTAGTAATGATGTTAAGTCCATCTCCTATTACTGAGATTGACGCTGCTCAGGGTCGTTCTCGGGGTGGTTATCCCTTTCAAAGGGAATAGAAAAGTGTAACAAAAAGGCGAGCCCAGAGCGCACTTGCAAGCCTCTGCGACCGTCAAGCTGTGGTTAACGTCGTTTATTCCTGCTGTTGGCCTGAGAATGTAAACCCAATCGAGAGTGACCAGAAGAATCCCGGATGATCCAACACTTTTTACTTTAAAGAGTCGGAAGAAAAAGGAAATCGTCCAATGCGTATCGGTGTCGTGTTGCCGTTTTCAGCCTTCGCCGTGAATTGTCTCGCCGTTCGTGTTGTCGTCGATTTCTTGCGTCGTCTTGCGAACTCAGAACTCGTGTAAGTCGATTACGTGTTGAAGTCGGAGCTAGTGGGGAAAGCAGATTTCTGGTCCGAAGGCTCCCGGTAATAATACGTATTGCGTACCCGCCGATAGACCCAAGCTTGCTATTCTAGGGAGAAGAAGTGGGTTGCGAGGGTGGAGATGGTGACGAATGGACAATGCGTTGACTCCTGTTGGGAAGAGAGGATGGAGGGAGACGAGAGAGGGGCGGCGGCGGTGCTAAAAGGTCGGGAGGGGCGGACGAGGGTGGTGATATGCAGTTATTTTGTGCCTTGTCCAGCCAAGTAAAACAAGGTGAGAGCAAGCATCAAATTAGGGGGAAAATAAAATAATAATAATAATAAAATAGGGTAAAAAAGGGTAAGGGGGAAAAAAGGGAAGGAAGGAGAGTAGGCTAGGTAGGGTATGGCAGGCCGGAGAGCCAGGGCATGCAAACCATATAAGTCGGAATGGCCAAGGTGAAGGGGATCGGCGGAGGAGTGTCGCACTGACAGCCCCAATGTGGATTGAAACACCCGAAACGCCAGTGAGCCAACAATGTTATTGACGATAACCTCTGGGCCAGAGGAGGTTCCAATTCTCAGCTTGATCACCCAGTGCCCGTTCCCTAGCGTCGGATCGCCGACGAACCGAAGGGAAACAGGCTACGTAGAAACAGTGGGAGACGGACCCGGCAGGCCTCTTTTCCACACTTACACCTCGATGTCCGCTCAGGGGTGTCCCTGGAAGCAGTGATGGAGGGTAGGTAGGAGTTAGGTAGGGGAGAGAACAAATCCGATTGATCCCCTTGCACTCCTTGGGGAGCTTGGAGGCCTAAATCCCAGAAAGGAAAAAGGCGAGGGCGGAGGGGGGTGAACACCAAAAGAGAGAGAGAGAGAGAGAGAATTAAAAAGACGAAGAGGCTCCCTCCCACTTGGTTGGCGTGCGTTGAGGGTGTGCGTTTGCAGTGTTGAACCCCAAAGGGAATGGGCTGTCGCGATGTCGCCTTGTCAAAGGGGCGGAGGATGAGGAAAAGGAATCGGCTAGAATTTCATTGATGCTCTCGCCAGCCGCAGTTCGACAAGAAACCGACAAGAAAATAGAAAGGATTGGCGCTGTTGCTATTCGTGGCGCGGATGGAGCGAGGGAGGAGTAAGAAGGAGTGAGAGCAGCAAAAAGAGGGCTTAGACGTTGTCCGAATTTTGTTGGCCAGCAACGTGCTGCTCAGTTGGATGAAGATGGGAGCAAAAAGGATCTGATGATGGCCGACCGCACGGGATGGGGAAAAGGTGCAAGAAAAAGCCCCCAGAGAATGCTAGCATCGCACTCTCCGCGAAGTAGAAGCAGGGGAGTTAGGATGAAAGAACTCTGTGCGGCGGCGACGACAGAGAGGTCAGCGCTCCAGATTCGATGCAACAGTCGGCCATGGCTGTGCGTTCAACGCATGAAGGCAAGTCTCCCCATTGAGGACGCGAGCTGTTTGAAAATGTCTAGTGCAGCAGGAACAAAAGTTAGGTGCAGGAGGTCAGGGAAGGGAAGTCAGGGATGAAGTGACCGGGAGGGAAGGGAGTGATCCACACAGGCCTCGGGGATGGATCGAGCTTCTGTTCCAGGGCCAGGATGCGGAGATTTACCGCCAGTGTCGCGTGGAGAAGGGCACGCAACTTGGTCTGGGGCCTTTTCTGGCTTTCTTTTTCTTTTTCTTTTTCTTTTTCTTCTTTTTCTTCTGGAGGGGAGGGGAGAGGGGTCTCAGTCCAAGAAACGGCTAGGGCAGGTTGATACAACCTGGCGACCAGGGCTGTGGGGAGAACCATGTAGGGTTGCAGCAGGAGACTCCTCAAGTCCATTTTCTGCCGCAGACTAGCTTGATCACAGTCGCTGGAAAAGGGTCCGTCATGCTGGTCATCTCATGGGCTGTGTCGGCGAGTCGGCCATGGAGGAAGGGATACATGGCTTCATGCAGTCCCCTTTACCCCTTTGCCTGTGCGTTTGCGTGGGGTTTCCCGGGCATCCTTCTCTTGGGAAAAAGAACAAGTTGTACTCCTTTGAAAAAGAAAAAGAAAAAAAAAGATTAGAAAGACAACCCCCAGGGCACATGAGCGAAAAGGTACACACTTCTCTTGGTAGGACTGCTTTCATCCAAGTTAGGTGAGCCATTTCGCCAGCCAGGGCAGACCAAAGGGTGCGACCGAACGAGCCTTTGCGTCCGTTCCCTTTCCATTTCGATCAACTCTTCACTTCCAGCCTAATACACAAGAAGTACCTATCAGTCTTTTGCCTTTCTAGACCCCATGGTCTATGATTATTACATGGAGGCCCGAGGTTCATCACTTCAGACCCCTGTGTCGATATTGGTGAAAACAGCCTGTTCCGTGCACTATAATAAGCCGGGCACTGTCAATCGATGTCCGACCCTGTGGAGGGAAGTGGAGGAGGGAGGTGGAGTATGCAACAGGTATTAACTCGATATTCATCTCGCTGGTGAATTCACCCGGTGCCGCGTACACAGATACTAAGCACAACCCACTAAGCAAGGCCGTCAAGTCACCTCGCTCCCACTGAGGCGTGCCGAAAGGAACCAAAGATAGAATCGACCGATCGGGTCGAGGGAGCTTTCCATCTTTCCATCTCTCTGTCTCTCTGTCTCTCTTCGGATATTTCTTCTTCTGGGGGTTTCCCTTGCCTTCCTTTCCCCTTGAATTCTCTCTCGGAAGCCAACCGGGAGTCAACCACCCACTCCTCGTTTCGCAGCAGAAAAGGGAATTTTGTAATTCGGCAGGGGTACCGAGGTAGGGTGCATCGGAGAAGCGACGAAAGAGGACTTTGGTATTATAAAAGAAAAAAGAAAAAAGTTATGATAATAATAATGGTGATAATAATAAAGGCACAAAGCACCTATACAGGCGGGAATAAGTCCGTCGGGGCTAGATCTTGCTTAGAAGAGCTCGGAGGCGCCAAATCTATTCCTGTTCGCCGCCTTTCTTGAAAAGACGCTTCAATATTCTCCAAGCAAGTAGAGGATGATGCACGAGCGGCTAGATGCTGTCTGGGGAAGAGGACATTGACCAGGATGATCGGCAGGCTGAGACCTGGACAAGGGGCCATGAAACTCCCTCTTCGATTGACCTGGGTGTTTTTGATACAAGCCCTGGATGACCCTTGCTTCTGACAGCAACGGTCAGTTGCTCTGCGCACGTCCGAGAATCTGTGACCGGGTTGGAGAGCCACCGCCAAAAAAACTCTCAGCCAAGATTTTCCAGGTCGCTCACGGATACCACCTCGAACTTGATCTTTAGCTCAGGCGAGGCAAGGGGGAGTAGGAGCAACACCAAAGATCGGGATAATCGAGATCGATTGGACGGGCTTGTGGCAAGAGATTGTAGTGAGATACTAAATTTAACCACCAGCTTTCCCTCGGCCCCTGCTTCAATTCGATTTCGAATCCACCCCAGCAATCAAATCGAAGACCGACCCGAATCTAGACGCGAAACAAAAGAGGAAAGGTGCAATAACCTGATCCTTCGTGGGAACAGCTATCCGTGTAGACCTGCTCCAGGATGTTCCGGGCCGGTAATGGGATAGTTGGGGTTTGCATATCGCAGTGTAGGCTTCTGTGAGGTGAGATAAGCTTGCTCTTGCTTTTCTAAGTGTGTCGAAGTCTTCTCGAAAGCGGACATAAACGAAAAGCAATGGCTTTAATGAGCCGCCCATGTGGATGGAAGCTTAGACAATAGCACAAGACACCGTTTCTTCCTGTCGGGACCACAAGCTTTATCGTATCGCAGTACACGAATTATAAAAAAGCCGGATAGCTAAAGATGATTCAGGTACCAGGAAAGTTGGTCTAGTGGCGCAAGGCTCCGGTGAGCCCATGATCGAGCTAACGGTAACTCTGAAGACTCATTGCGGGCAGGAGGAGGTCGAATCTAGCCTCCCTCGTGCATCGAGCTAATAGCCCTGACGCACTGGTGGAGCAGGGATAGGCGTAGGTGCAGTGTGATGCCAGCGTTCAGCGATCTGATCCGACGAGGTGGTATAGTTACATGACCAGCGAATGACGGGGAGAGAACATCTTCATGAGGATAAGGCGCAAAGGCTAAGTCAATCTCCTGTCAGCGCAAGCCGCAACTCTCTCTTCATCGGCTGTACCGAGGTAGGTAGGCCAAATTCGTCGATTCGATGTTAACTTCAGCCAGTTCCTGAATGTGAGACATAGCGAATCTCGGAAGTGTGCTGAGCATGTCAGTGCGGCATG